GGTGCACTGGCATGTATCTTAGGCTCTAGGTTAACTCCAGTGTAATCAGGAGAGAACAACGTAACACAAACATCGCCCCAGCGATCTTGCACCTTCTCACTGGAGCTTAAAACCCAGACCAAACATGTCTTGAGGGCATTCATCTGACCACAGATTATCTTCACAGTCTCTCCAGGTCCTTCAGTCACCCATTGCTACACCCATCCTGAAAAAGTTGCACAAAGATTTAGGAAAACTTTTAAGGGGTGAGGAAGGAGAAGAAATGCAGGAACAGGCAAGAAAGATGATAGAATTCAGGCTTGCCAGTTCTGACATAAACAGAAACACTGGAAATAGGGCCTGTGACGCCACCTGCTCCCACTCCATAATGAATAAGAATTATAGTATCCCAATTTCCTGATTAAAGACAAGGACAAACTTTGTGGATTTTTGTTTGTTTTACTTCAAATAAAGGTCTTAGAATTATACTAAGACCTGGGTTGCAGTCCTAAGTAACAGAAAGAATGGTCTCTCTGTTGAGAAGTACTAAATGCAGAAATGTCCAAAACTACCTTAAATAGAAATTGCAGATTGCAAATTGTATTTCATATCAAATACAAATTGTATTTTATAGATAACACTGGATTTCAAAGAATGAGGAAACTGCAGTTACTCAATCTATTTTCAGACTTAAAATTCAACTGTGCGGATTATGTAAGTATGTCATAAACAAACAGAACAACCAACTAATAAAGATGTTTTAGAAGAGAGGCAGATGGAAGAAAAAATAAATGAAGATATTCCTTCCCCCAGACCAGCTATTACACTTGGGAGGAAAAAAACCAAACACATTACTGTCACATGTACACTCACTGCATTAGGAGAGCCTCAAGTTACCACTAAATTAGGCAAAATAAAATGTCTTTATTGCCCGTTCCAGATTAGGACCTTTTCAAAAGTGTGTTGCTGTTAAAAATGAAATGTTAAATATAGGGGATATCATTTCAGTCTCTACAAACCAGAAACTCTCAAAGTAAAACTACATCTTTAAGCACTGCAGATATCAAAGAAACAGAATATCAGCACTAACGCTTTTGCCTGAGGTAGTCTGATATCCTTGCTGTTACTCTAGTCTCAGCTTCCTTCTGCTCACACACTTGGATGCTTTTTTATGACACCCAGTGTAACTACATGATGCAATTTCACAAGTACAGTAAAAGGTTAATCATTTTAAAGCCATACCATTCATATCTCTAACAGTGTTCATTTTTTAAAACGCGCAGTTGGTTGGACTGTGCAATTCTCTCCTTAAGTCGGCTGAGACAACTCTTTAGGAATTACTGATGAACATTTTAAATACATAAAGCTGTGCCTGTCTTATCTGTACAGACCTACATTTTGGAAATTGAGTCGGCCATACCATACCATATAGTAATAAAGTAAAACATGCAGTAATTTCCTAGTAAGTTACTGCCATTTAACAATGCATTTTTCCAAGGCACAGTACACAAAAGAACTCCTGCAATGGCAGATCGATGTACCACATGAAAATTTTAACCTTCTAATGGGACAGTGTGACATGTTTTGCTCATTCTTTGTGTCAAGTGACATAAGGCAGCATAAGCAGCACAATGAGGAAATTCAGACATCCCTGGTTCTTCATCATAGTCACAATGAATACTGGTCGTCTACACAAATGAGAGATACAAAGTTGTAAAATATAGGAATATAATTTTATTCTGTTAATTTGCAAATGTATTGGTACAGCTGTTCTGAGAAAGCTTCTGAGGAAAATTTTTCCATAACTCTCACTCTCCCAGCTGCTCCCATTGTGTCCTTTAAGATAGGATCTCTCACAATTTTTTCCATTGCTTCAGCGAATTGGGTTGGTTGAGGATCACACAAAAATCCTGTAACACTATGCAAGATTGATTCTAAAGGACCACCTGAATTAACTGCTATAACTGGACATCTCATATACATTGCCTCCAAAGGGACAATACCAAAATGTTCATTGCTTGGTGTATAAAGCACACATACACAGTTACTAAAAAGGGAGACTTTCTGTTCATCTGAGAACGATCTCAGAAAAGTCACATGCTCATTAACACCAAGCTTGGCTGCAAGTCTCCTCAGCTCTTCGTAGTGCTCCACATTTTCCAGAACTCGTTTATCATAACCACCTGCCATAACCAGGTGAACTTCATTCCACTCATGAGAATCAAGTCTTCCTCGAAGTTCATGCAAAGCTTCAAGAGCCAATGCTAGATTCTTTTTTCTCTCATACCTATTAATGGAAAGAAACAAGAACTTCTTCTTTTTCGGTATCAGGTCAACTATGTCTGCAGGAACGATTGTTTCAAAGCTATTGACGTTGAGTGATGGGTAGAGGACATCTGGGTTTATGTGAGACAGGGACTTAAATGTGTCTTTGAACACGCTGGCAGTAAACTTGCTGTTCACAACAATACAGTCTGCCATGCCAGTCGTGTACTCTTCCAGCCAGTCGAGTGGCCATCTGTAGAGACGCTTCAGGAAAGATTCTCTCTTGGTCAGAAGCTGGTCAGGAAAGTGACAGTAAAACAAAACCTTCTTACGGGTTCTGGCCAGTCTAAGTATGGGAATGCAAGCAGACACCTAGTGCAACCAGAAGAGACAGGACAAGAGGAGATATTAATTATTTGTGTTAGTGCCACCGGAGCGTACACGTGATTTCAAAGCCACACCCTGAGGGTCAGTCCTTTGTAAGCCAAGTGCCTTCTCCCTCTCTCTTCCACAAGCACTCCCTCACCCAGGACCTCTTGTTGAGGCCCTAGATCTCCTTCCTCACAAAGACAAGGCACCCTGCTCCCCACCCAGGCCCCACCAAGCCTCAGGACTTTTCAATGTACTTCCTCCCTGCCACTATCACAGGAGATGGGAATGGAGCCCAAGCTGCAGCAGCATCCTCCCTCCAGCTGCCCTAGAATGCAAGAGTGTTGCAAAATGTGGAATATGTCAAGATTATCTTAGGTGAGGACATTCTTTGATGTACAGTCTTTGTATACTCTGAAGGCTAATCAGAAAGAATGGAGACCTAATCACAGTAACAGGCAGAAGCCAGCATCCCTTAGTGCAAAGACATCCCGGAACTAACAAGTAAATCAAGATGTTGTTGCAGAATAGAACAGATAGCAGCTAGCAACCCTTACGCAAGGACGTCCCGGAACGAACAAGCCTTAAGGCTGTAGTAAATCAGGATGTTCATGTATGTCTATGTCATTGTCATTGTTATGTTTACGTCATTGTTAATGTGGCAAAATACTCAAGGTCTTATCGCTGAACTATAATGTTCATTATAATACTAAAAATCATGCCTACAAGACAAAAAGATCCCTACCCAGGTGAAGATCCTTTCCCTGAGCACATGTAGAAGTTAGCTGGGGTTATGTAACTTGTATGGAATCACAGAATCAATTAGGCTGGAAAAGACCTCTGAGATCATCGACTCCAACCTATGACTGAATACCACCATGTCAGCTAGACCATGGTACTGAGTGCCACATCCTGTCTTTCTTTAAACACCTCCAGTTACCTCTCCGGGCAGTCCATTCCAATGTCTAATCACCCCTTCTGGGAAGAAATTCTTTGTAATGTCCAACTCAAACCTCCCCTGGTGCAGCTTAGGACTATGCCTTCTCATCCTGTCGCTTGCTGCCTGTGAGAACAGGCTGACGCCCAGCTGGCTACAACCTCCTTTCAGGTAGGTGTAGAGAGTGATAAGGTCACCCCTGTGCCTCTTTTTCTCCAGGCTAAACACGCCCAGCTCCCTCAGCTGCTCCTCACAGGACTTGTGCTCCAGACTCTTCACCAGCTTCGCTGTCCTTCTCTGGAAATTACTAACCAATCATAATTGAGAGGCTGCACTTGGAAAGTGACTGACTGAATCTCTGTATAAATAATGGTGAGGAAAGCCCAGTGGGATGATCTTGATTTGTGGAACACCACTAAGCAGCCAGCCTTGCACAACTCTGAAATAAACAATCAATGTCTTTCTCTCTCTCGTGTCTAATTATTGGCTTGTTGCACACCACGTAACGAATACGATTTTGTAGGGATTTGATGCTCCAGAGGTCTGGAGCATCTCTCTTACAAGGAGAGACTGAGTGCAGATCTCATTAACGCATATATCTCCAGGGCAGATGCCAAGAGGACAGTGCCAGGCTCTTTTCAGAGGTGCCCAGCGACAGGATGAGGAGCAATGGCCACAAATCAAAACACAAAAAGTTCCACCTCAGGACGAGGAAGAAATTCTTTACGCTAAGAGTGGCAGAGCACTGGAACAGGCTGCCCAGGGAGCTCGTGGAGTCTCCCTCTCTGGGGGGCACTCACCAACCCATCCGGACGCATTCCTGTGGGTCGCCTGCTCTAGGTGACCCTGACTGGGCAGGGGTGTTGGACACGGTGATCTCCAGAGGTCCCCTCCAACGCTAAGAATTCTATGACACTGTGAACACCCTGTCGGGCCTGCGGCGGCGGTGCGCCCGTGCCCGCGCCCGCACCTGGTCGCAGACGAAGGCGTCGCAGCTCTCCCCGCTGAGCAGCAGCACGTACAGGGCCAGGCAGGCCATGCGCAGGGCGGCGCACAGGGCGTGCCCGCGGCCGCACAGGGAGCGCGGCACCCAGCCGCCCGCGCTGCGCACCGCCAGCCCCCGCGTCTCCGCGAAGCAGCGCCCGGGGTCGTAGTGCGCCGTCCAAATCTGCACCCGGCAGCCCCGCGCCCGCAGCGCCAGCGCCGCGTCCACCACCAGCCGCTCCGCGCCGCCCAGGCCCAGGTCCGGGTGCAGGAACAGCACGGACGGGCCGTCCCCGCCCGCCTCCTCTTCCTCCATGGCGCTGCCGGGCGGATGGGATCGCATGCGCAGCCCGGCAGTCCCGGCGGGACACGTCAGCCTTCCTGCCGGGCCTTCGCGCCCGCCCCGCCCGCCGGGCGCCCGCGGCGCTGCCCGGCCCGTCTCTCCGACCGGTCTCGCTCCGGTCCGGCCGCTGCGGGACAGCGGGCGCAGCCGAGCTGTGGCGCGGGGGCAGCGCGCTGGGGAAACTGCAGCTGAGAGAGGGGGAGAGGGATAAGGGGCCGGTGCTGCTCAGGCGTTATCCTGGGAAGCCGCGCGGTGCCGGGATGCGCGGCGCGGGGGCGGAGCCTGCAGCGGGCAGGGACGTGGCCAGATCTGCCGTAGCGGAGCGTGTGTGAGACCGCGCCGACCCCGAGCCAGCGCCGCAGCCATGGTGAGGGGCTGCCCCGAGGCGGGGGGCGGCTGGGGCGCCCCTGCTCCCCCGGCCGTGCCCGCTGCGTCTCACCCTTTCCCGGTTCTTTCCTCTCTCCGCAGCCCGGGCCCAACCCTAGCGCCACCAGCGTCGGCTCCTCCGGCCGCTCCCCCAGCAAGGCAGTGGCTCCCCGCGCCGCGGGATCCACCGTCCGGCAGAGGTGGGTGCCCGCCGCGTCTCCGTAGTGGGGGCAGCTCTGCCCTCCGTCGTGCCCTCTGCTTTCCTGGCTGCCCAGGCTGGTGCCCTCTGCTTACGTGGTAGCACAGACTGATGCAAGTCCAGAGGTGGGCAACGGAGCTGGTGAAGGGTCTGGAGCACAAGTCCTATGAGGAGCAGCTGAGGGACCTGGGGTTGTTGAGCCTGGAGAAAAGGAGGCTCAGGGATGACATCGCTCTCTACACCTACCTGAAAGGAGGTTGTAGCCAGGTGGGGATCGGCCTGTTCTTCCATGCCATGAGCGACAGGATGAGAAGGCATACTCCTAAGTTGCATCAGGGAAAGTTTAGGTTGGACATTAGGAAGAATTTCTTCACAGGGCTATTAGGCGTTGGAATGGGCTGCCCAGGAAGGTGGTGGAGTCACTGTCCTTGGAGGTGTTTAAGGAAAGACAGGATGTGGCACTCAGTGCCATGATCTAGTTGACATGGTGGTGTTTAGTCATAGGTTGGGCTGGATGATCTCAGAGGTCATTTCCAACCTAAATGATTTGTGAAGTGTCTTGCTTCTGTAGAGTCTCTTTGGGATGCCTGGTGCTAGAAACTGGCAGACTGCTAATGTGTTTTGTTCGGTCTTTGTTTCGTTCTGTTGTCCCTTAAAGGAAGAATGCCAGCTGCGGGACAAGGAGTGCAGGCCGTGCCACGTCCACAGGTACTGGTGGGATGTGGCGATTCTACACTGAGGACTCACCGGGGCTCAAAGTGTAAGTTGGATTAATGTGTGGTGGCAGGCACGGGGTCTGTAGAGTTCTTCTATTTATATAGTCTTTCAGTCTGTGAATTATTAATAAACTATCAGTATCCTGGTGTGCATGGGAAAACATACTGAATTGGTGGCTGGGTTGACACATTTTATTTATTGTGTAAACCTGGAGAAGTACTTTTTAAATTTATACTGGTTTGAAAAAGGTAGGTACAAGTTGCAAAGTTGCAGTCTTTGAAGTTGAAAACTTAGGCATCTGTGTGCGTGTTTTTGTTCTCTTTTAATTAAAATTTTGGGGTTTTTTTTATTAGTAGCTATATTGTGATCCTCTGCACCCACTTGAAAATACAGTATAACTGATATGCTGTATGGTTGCATAATCTCAGGTGTCTCTATTATAAAGCTGCAGATAGACAACTTTAGCTAAGCTTGCAAAGCAAATAGCATTCCGATACCTTGTATATCATTGTTTTTACAAGATAATATTCCAAGATTATGGTCAAATATCTGGTGTTGTCCCTTAAGCTCTAAAGAGAGCCTGAGTTTTTACTTTTTGGGCATTTCTAGTCATTCAGATCAGTTTCCCAAACAAACTTTGCAGCCTAATACTTGGGTAACAAAGGTGGAAGGGAAGGTGTATTTCAGCTGATGAGTGCACGCTAGGTCATACCCTGAGTGGGAACTTTTGCTTCTTGTAGAGTGATACTTCATGGCCTCTTGTTCTTACTGGGTTGAGGAATCTCAAGACACTCAGGGCTGTTTCTTGGTTGTTTGTTTTTTTTTCCACAAATCCATTAGCATTTACTTTTGGAGCTCTTTAAGAGGACTTCTGCTGGCTGCAGAAACAGAACATTTGGGTAAGGGTTGGCGATAGTCTAGTTAATGATAGTTCCACCAGTAATCCTTCTTTTGAAGTTGTCTTATGTGTTTTCATATGTGCTTGACACTTTAAAAGCCAAAACCTATACAATAAACAAAGTAGTGATGTTGTCTTGCTTTCTCCATTCTGAACCCAGAGAGGAGACAAGGCAAAGAAAAGAAAAAGACAGTGAGCAGCAATAGTGTTCTAGAGCAAATATGTGCAGATAGGAAGGGCAACTACTTTCTGTGTTTTTTGGTCTACTAAAGCTCAATTTAAAAAATGAGTGAAACCAAACTGAGAAAAAAACAGAAGGGGGCTACCATTAGGTAGATTTTTAAAAAAATAGATGTATGATGCAAACTGTCAAAGCACCTTTAACAATTTTGATAAGTTTCCTTGTGAATCCTTTGGTTTCCCTTTTGATATTGAATGACCACTGAGTTTAGTGGCCATTCAACATCAACTTGAATTCAACATCAAGTTGCTTGTACTGAGTTTGCACTCAAGCTCAGTACAAGCAGGTCAGTAGATAGATTTTCCCATCTATTTGTGTTGCAATACATTGGTTTTCAGTTTTAAACACTGGGAGTGTTTCTTGGGGTTTTTTTTGGAAGCTGCTGTGGGTAGCTGCATGGTCAGGCTTTTAGTGGAAGAATTAAAAGTAAAAGTGAGTTGGTTTTACAAATCACTTGCACATTAGAAGTAACATTTTCTGAGCTGTGTCTTGGGAGCAACTTTCTCGCTTACAGCTTTCCATGTATTTTTCTATATGTTTTTTTCCATAGCAACCAATTGTTATGATCTCTGTCCAGTTTAGTAGGCTTCAAGATGAAAATGGCCTGTAGTGGGGTTGTGTTTGCCTCAGGAAAGTGCTTCAGCTGAAGTTGTTTTTAAAAATGGTTGGGATCACTACTGCATGATGTAATGTGAAAGCTTAGCCTGATAGTGGTGAGTGGTTGGTGTTTTTTTAAATTTTGTTTAAAATATGAGGTCCTTACTATGAAAAAATACATAATCCACCTGAGACCATGTTAATTCATACTAGCTAAGATCAGGAGAATTTCTAGAAAAAAAAATTTCTATATTTCATATTTTGCGTAATTATGCTGATGCTTCAGTTATTTATTATCTGTATTCAACATCCAAAACAGTAAATATGTTGAATAGGCAAGTTGGTTTGGCCTCAGGAAAGATCATTTCTCTGTAGTACAGGATGCTATAAAATGTATGTCTTCAAAAGCAGTATTAGCAAAAGGGAGTTGTGGAGTGTCTGGATGAGAGTGGGATATGACATTTTTCTCTTTAAAGCTCAGATCAAGCATCATAGGCTCTGGAAAGAAAACTAAACCCAAACTTTTCGCTCTTTTTGTGGCACTTGGTACTTGTTTTCCTGTATCTTGTCGTGGGCTTTCTTACTTAAAGAGGTACAGACAGTGTTTCCTGTGGGTAGGGAGTCAAATTAGGCTTGTGGTATAATATGCAGCCTTGTGAGAGATGTTCTGCAAATGCACAGTACCAAATCTTTAGAGGTGCCTGAATCCATTTATTTATTTAAACTGCATGGTGGGCTGAGAAGGTGCAGGTGTATGGAGGAGAAGTGCAGGGTTTCAGCAGGTTATCTTTGGGACTGAAGGAAATGAGGTACATGTGTCTGTATTGGAGAGCTGGTTATTCTCTAGGGGTTCAATGTCATCCGCACGTTTAAAAAACACACTGAACACACAGTAAATCCCCACTATTTATTTTCACGTGACTCTGTTCTGATTAGTGGTGCTCCTTTATTCCTGTGTGCGTTTGGCAGAGCAGCTTATGTATTCCTACTGCTACAGGCTTGGATGAATTAAGTAGTAATTCAGATGCAGTGTAAGGACTTCATGCACTTGATATCATTAAGATTTACATTGTGTGGGATATAAACTTCAAATACGTATAGAATGTTGGTGATTGAGAAGTACATTTTGTTGCTCAGTGAAAGATACCCCTTGACAGGGGTTGCTTATGTAGTCACTGTGTGTTCAGACTTTGTTTATTTTGCTCATTTTGCTATTGGTTTATTTGCTAAATACTTTGTCTGTGTTCGGGGTTCTCCCTACTCAAATAAGTCTGATAGATAATAATTGAGTTTTAAAACTCAATGTAAGATTACAGTTATGACCATTTGAAGTTTGTAGACCATCTTCTCTAGAAAAATGTGTCAGTTACTTCCAGTCTTTTCAGTTTCTTTCTTTACTTTCTAGTCAGATAACATTTACCTGCTTACAAACAGTAACCTGTAGGGTAATACAGGCTGGATAACAGATTTCATGGTGTTTCTCCCAGTAGCATGTTGAAAATCAGAAATGAAATTGTTTGAAGTGAGTGGTATGAAGCACTGTTGAGTGTGTGTAATTGTGTAATAGTGCATGTAATTGTGTCTCAAAACAGCATGAAATAGCTGATTTAATCTATCGACATGCACCCTAAGGTTAACCTGTTTTTTAAAGACATCTCTATACAATTTCTAAACAATATATAAAAGTGTGAAGGAAAAAAAATAAGAAATTTGTTAATTATACATTTTAGGTAATGATTTAATGTTGTTAACTTTCACGTTTCATGTATCTTTTTCAAGAAAAGAGAAGTCCCTGTCTCTCACCCACTGCTGATGTTGTTTTCAAATGAAATAAAACCTTTAAAAAACCCCAGCTAATGCGAATTTTATGCCAAAATTTTAGTAGCCGCTAGAGGACTCTGTTGGTTTTTGTATCAGAGTGTATCTCTGCTCCGGTGGCTATCTGAGTAGTAAACACGGATGATAATTTTCCAGAGATTTTCACAGCGATGTGTAATAATGAACCATTAAGGGCTTTTTAAATAAGCGGTGTTTTTGTTACTCTGTTGCGCTTTATTGTGTAACGTTTAGGGTACGGAAGACTGTATCTTTAAAAACAAGAGCAGCAGCAGTTTTGAATAGAGGTGGCTATCTCATTTCTATGTACTTTAAGTTATTTCTGTGGGAATGGAAGGAGAGTTTTCTTGTACAGTTGCTTATGAACTGATGAGCTCACTTGGCTGATAATGACTGGCCTTTGGAGAAAGCAGATATTTTTTTTATGTTAATGCATTTTTTTCTTTATTTGTAGTGGGCCTGTTCCAGTTTTGGTCATGAGTCTTCTTTTTATTGCTTCTGTGTTTATGCTGCACATCTGGGGTAAATACACTCGTTCCTAGACTCAGCTACCAACTTAAAGCATACATCTTGGACCAAAACTATGGTGGATCCTGGTTGTTCTTGGAGAGAGACTGGGGAAGCTTCCTATCACCTGTTGAAGTCCTGTCAACTTTGGCTATAATACCGAATTAATTTCTCAGTTCACTACTTGGGCAGCTTTCAAGTCTGTCATGGGTCATTTTATATTTGTATCTGTACACTTAGAATGCAGGTATTGCAATAAAAGTTGTATATGGAAATAGAAACAGTCTTAACTGTATTTTTTCCTCTTCCAGCATACCACAGCTAGCACATTATACTTGTGGTTTTCATATATAATCATATTTCTGAGTAACTGTCATTTGACAGTTCAAGCCAGATTCTTCTATACTATACATTCCTATATAATTTTATACTAGAATATCTTTTTTTTTGAATGGGAGAAGCAAAATCAGGTTCACAAACACGTGAAGGTAACAAATGTACTCGTTGAAATAAAACTGAGGTACCTGAGCTGAGCTGGTCATGTTCATCTGTTAACTCCAGGAAAATAGCTGGATTTATTTATTTCCTAAATGCAAGTTAAACTTTAGGCCGTGCTCATACATAAAAGTTATCTATATGTATGCTTGTTTTTTCAAACACTGCTTGAGGAACAACATGAACTAGTACCTAACTGATTTAAAAAAGAATAATTGCATGGCTGTCAAAGACATGTTTTGCTTTCAGGCACATGGTGTGATTCTTAGGGCTGTCCTGTGTGGGGACAGGAGTTTGGACTTCAGTGATCCTTTTGGGTCCTTTCCAACTCAGGATATTCTGTGATTCTGTGACTCTGCAGGTCCAGACTCTTTCAAGGGGACTTACATGGAAATGGGAAGACTGGAAAAGCAATGACTGCATTTTAAATAACAGGACTTGCAAACATGTTGAGATACAGCTAAGTGGCTCTTCAGATAATCACTTCAGTTTACTTCAGGATGTTATTTTCCTTTTGAACAGTCAGACATCTCTTTTTAAAGGTATCTACGTGTTTTCACAATAGCATTTCTCACTACCAGTAAGGTCTTGAAGTTGGATAGAATTATTTTAGCCCGTTTTTCATGTTGTTTCTTATTTGACTATCAGCTTGTAATGGCAAAACAATATTCTTAGTTATGCAGCCTTGATACAAGTGTTGACTGCATGTTATAGGAGCAGCCCCTCTTACTCACCACCTTCCTTTAAAGCATTTCTTAAATTAGCATTACTTCTGAAAAGACCAAACTGTTCAGAACAAAACCAAGAATAAGAAATATGATCTTGGGGCTAAAAAGATAATCGCTTTGAGCTGTGCTTATGCCATGTACCTAGTGTAAATATAGAGGGAAAGACAGAAGACTTGGAACAGAAACTGAAAAATATCTTACAAAATGTAATAGTAGGAGAGTTATGTTTTTAGAGGGTTGGAAGTTGAGGAAGAGGGAATTCTGGTGACTCAAAGGCAGTCGGGTAGCAGAGTACATTAAATTGGTAGAAACTGAGACAAATAAATCGTTTATCAAAGGGAAAAGGATCCATAAATTATTTACCTCTATGCATATGGAAGTTAAAACACAAGGGAAAATAAAGCAAGTAAGGGGGTTAGCTCACTGCTTCAGAAGGTGGAAATAAGTCTCTCTTACTTAAATGCTTTGCTTAGCAAGAAAACAAAATCTGTACAGTCAGCGATTTCATCTTAAGGCAAGAAAATGCTAAGAGAAGACCAAATGCAAGTCAGTTGTTCTGCTGACCATGTGAATGGACTGTGTTACTTACTTAATTTGTGGGGCTCAAAGAAAAAGGAATAAAATATTCTAAAATAGGGTAAGGGTAAGGAATAATAAGTAACAGTAATATCAAAGTATGTAAGCTCTTCTTTCTTATTTTTTCTAATGCTCTGTTTAACTGCTTTCTAATATAGCAGGCAACAGTTTTCTTTGAAACACTTCCAGTCCTTAAAAGCTGTTTTCCCACACCAAATAATTCAATTTAAAGCCTTCCATATTTTTGCTTGTTTGGTATCCTGCTGCTTCTAAAGATCAGTATCAATGACAAACTCGGAAAAGTGATGGGGGACAGATTATTGCTGTACAGCCTTTTAGTATGTTTTTAATGCATTTAAATAAATTTTAATGCATTTAATTCAACTGAATATAAAAATGTTGACAATTTTGACAGTACTGTCCTTGCTTAAATTGTTTGTTTTCTGGAATGGCCTGTATCATACATTTTTGTATGCAGTGTCAAAAGAGTTTAATGTCTCTAGTTTTGAAAAAATTAGCTCCCACCCCTTCTCGGCTTTATATTTTGTGTCAGCTTAGCTGTGGTGATACTTTAGTTGGATGCAGCTAGGTGAAACATCCATAGCTTTGTTTTATATTTATTGTACTTGATTAAAACACAGATTTCTCTATTGTATGTTTTCAATTTGGGATTATTTTAATGATTAGCATAAACCTGTTGGATATTCACGCTCATAATTTTAGTATTTTGTGTGCACGAGTTGTAGTGCAATCTTGCAGTTGATGTTTATCAAACTTCAGCTCCACAGAAGTACGGACAAAGAAATGCAGGTTGCAAAGACTTACCAAAAGTTTGGCTGATAATGAATGTGAAATTCTGTTTGACCTCGGTTAATAAATTATAGCCATATGAATAAACAGTAGCTAATTCAGTGTGAATCTGAACCTGATGCAGTTGTGGGGCTTGGTAGACCTAGCTTTCTAATTTTGTTCCATTATTGTTTCCATACTCCTTGCTGAAAAGCTTTTTTTAATTACCTTTTATGGTGTTTTGGGAATAATTTAAGAAAGAAAGAAAGAAACAACAAAAACTTTACAGAAGGTTGAAGACTCATCCATGGAGGAACTCACAGCAGTGGATAGAGTTGGAGCCTTTCTCTCCTCTCTTCTAGTTGGAATTAAATAATACTCATCTCCCTTTTGTCTGTGTGCAAAATTAGCTAATGATAGGATTGCTTTCATTGAATGAAAGAGTTTGCAGAGTGAGAATGTCTCTCTTGTTTCTGAACTTAGAAAGAACCTAACAACATCTTTGGAAGGAAGAAAAATGTTATTGCTGGTTCTGCTTCCAAGAATATTTTCCACTTCCAAGCTGAAATTATTTCTAACCACTTTCTGCCGCCTGGCAAACTCAAGAACAGAAGAGAATCAGATAGGGCCTCTTGCCTCAGACCACTGCATGAAGATTGACCACTTGGAGGGGAAAATTTTTCAGTAAAATGACTTCTTACACCAAACCTTATAGCTCTGTTGTTTAGACTGTTGTAGCTATAGCAGTGTAACTTCTCTGAAAAAGCATCTATGTTCTGCAGAAAGCACAGAGGTATTTTATTTGTCCTGGTGTCGAAGAAAGGTGGTTCACCTGCAGCTGTTCCTGATATTTAAGGAACAACACTACTTCACACAGTGATAACCCTTTCTCTCCATTTTTTCCTGGCTTTTCTTGAGGATAGGTATCTTGATGAATTCCTTTTCTCTGTGTGAGTGACACTGAAATCTCTCCTCTCTAAGGTGAGATTTATCTTCAGATGAGTTAACTTTTAACAACGTGTCTGCTAATCGTTTTGTGCCTTTTGTAGGCAGTGGTGACAAACCTGCATTTCTAGCCTTTAGTTCTGCTAACCTGTTTTATTGTCAGGTGAAAAGGTGCTATATAGGAGCCTGTACCTCCAGGCAGTTGAAGAACTGTGGACAGCAACTCAGAGTAGTTGGAGCATTTGTCAGTGCTATAGGTGTCAGATTGAGATGAAATCCAACCCTTCATCCCAGCTGCTGCTGACAGAGCTACTGATCTTTAACTGTATTTTGGTGATGAAATGATCTGAGAACATCCAGTGCTGATGAAACTCAAAAACCTCATGAAGTCACACTTGGCAAGTTACGTTCATCAACAAAGACTTTACGAAGAACAAAAATTATAGCTCTGCAGACCCCGAGAGCAGTTTTGGTGAAAGCAGGCAGCCTTCAGAAGTGACGTGGCAGGAAAAGAAAGATGGCAGTAGATGTCCCTTTCTGCTTTCTGAAGGCATAAATAAATAAGGCTGGAAATTGTTCTTTTTAACCTCCCCCACCCCTTTCAACCACTGGAATCTGCTTTTCATCTTCCTTAGAAATTAAGGCCTCTTAGCCCAGCCTTTTCACAGGAGAAGTAGAGAAATTGTGAAATTGAGAAGTTCTGTCCAAAAGGATGACTAAAAGATGTTTTCTTCCTTAAAAAAATGCATTTAAATCAACAGATAATTAACAGTTTGATGAAGGATGTTTTCATGTTCAGTAGCCTCAATTTTTTATGTCTCTACTGCACTCTCAGTAAATAGCCATGAAAAGACAGAAGGTTGTCACAACTTACAGTATATGATAGATTGAAATAAAATAAGCCACATCTTCCCCCAAAGCATGTTCACATAGTAAAAAAATTAGTCTTCCTCCTAAAAAACAAAGTTAGCACATATGCGTGCTATTTATAATGCTATTATAAATTTATGATATTTTTAAAAAATCTATGTATAAAATTAATTAAATGTAATATTAAATATATATTTTTAATTTAATAGGCTTAACTTTATATAATCTCAAAGCAGTTTTTTTTTTAAATTTTAATTTTTCTGGGTTTGTTTTGGTCAAAATTAAAATGAAAAGTAATTACCAAATGCCAACATTTTCCATGAACTGGAAATTCACGTTGGAACCATCACTTAACACTAGATAGCTAAGACAGTGTGAAATAGTATTGGAAATATAGGTGTAGGTCATAGCAAAATGTACTTTGGTAGGAACTCATGGTTGTCTTTGATCTAGCCCCCTGCTCAGAGCATCAGGGCTTGATCAGGTTGCTGAGGGCCGTGTGCAACTGCATTTTGAAAATCTCCAAGGGAGGCGATTTCAGAGTTTCGGTGTTTGCCTGTCCCTGTGCTTAACCACTCTCCGGTGAAGATTTTTTTGTTATGTCCAGTTAGAATTTCTTTTTTTGACCTTGCAGTGATTGCCTTTCAACCTTTTGCTGTGCATTGCTGGGAGAGCTCTAGCTCCATTTACTCTCTAACTTTGGCTGAGGTCAGCAGCTAGTGTTTTCACCTTAGCCCTCTTGAGCTAAACAAACCTGGTGGCCTCTGTCCCTATATGTCATGTGCTCCAGCCTCCAACCATCTAAGTGGCCCTCTCCTAGATTCTGCAGTTTGTTAGTGTTTCTTTTGTATCTAGGGCACAAAACTAAGTACAGTTTTCC